GCTAGGGAGTTGTGTGTGTGTGTGTGTGTGTGTGTGTGTGTGTGTGTCTGCACACGTGCACACATGCACGTGTGCTCACGAGCCAGTCTGTGGGTTTGTCTTTGAGACTATCCCCCTGGGGTGGTTGTGTGAGTCGGCGTGACTCCACAGGGTGTGTAAACACATGTCTGCAGTGTAACTGCGTGATAACATCGGACACAATTCCCCATGTGTGCATGCGTGACCCTGTCCAGGCAGCACCAGGGGTGTATGCACATTCTGTGGGTATCTGTGTGCTCCTGTGCCTTCACGGGGCAGGGGTGATTTGCACCCCTGCGTGCCTCCATCCAACAGCCTGTGTGAATGTATGCACCAGCCTGCATGACTCACTCTGGGTGATGCTGGTGTGTGCACAGAGGTGAACACCACCTTCCATCCTTCCCATCCTCCTTGCCATCAGCGCCCCCTCAGGTGTATCTGACACCAAGAAGCTAGAGCCTCCTGCTCTTCCTGCATGCCTCCGCCCAAAGAGTCTTCCTGCAGCCTGACTCAGGATGCACCCTGATCCAGCTCTTCCTGCTTCCCACCTGACAGCCGTCTCTGAATTCCTTGACATAGGGGCTGGTCTCCAGGCTCAGCTCATCCTCATTGGCCCCCCGGAGCTTCAGGGGACTGCCTTGGGCCATCCCAGAGCAGGGGTAGGAGACATCCTGATGGGCTGAGACACTGAGCAGCCGCAGGAAGGTTAGCTGCACCACACCAACTGGGGAGCCTTCTGAGTCTACGTAAGAGAACTGGCAGGAGAGAGGCTGGTGGTGAGGGGCAGATGGAGCAGGGCTGGCAGAACATCTACAGAAGCGGGGTTCCCGTGGCTGGGGTCATGGGCAGGGAACGGGTGGGCAGAAAGAGCTGAGGGAGAAATGAGGGACCAGAGCAGGAGGCTGGGACTGACTGAGGGTAAACAGAAGGCAAGCTTTGTCTAGGGTTGTCGAGGGAAAAGGCAGCGGGCTGGTGGTAATAAGGGAAGAGCCAAGGAAAGAAGGGGCGCAGGCTCTGTAGGGCCAGGGCGCCTGTCACAGAAACCTACAAGCCCCTGGGACTGCAAGTGGGGCAGGGGAGGGAAGGGGGGCAGCCCTCACTTGCGTGACATCATCTCTGGGTGTCACACATGTTTCCCCTCCGGCTGTAAAGTTGCAGAAAACCCGGAAGGCATCCCGAGCACAGCCCTGGTTGGGGTCCACCCAGTACTCTCCTGTTGGGTGAGGGAGAGGAAAGGGTCAGGGTCCCCACAGGCGGGACCCAAGACACTCCTTGCCCCCCTTCCCACTCCCACCCCGCTGCTCCAAACCCCCACCCTCCCCACCATGCCCTCAGTCTCCAGGTCCCACTGTCCCCTGGAATCCCACAATGCTGCCCACCCTACTTCATGCCCCATCACCACATTACACCCCTGCCCGTCTCTGGCACCCTTCCCCACAGCAGCACGCCCAGGCCCCCGATGGAGGGGGCAGGAGCACTGACACCTCACGTCAGTACAATATGTGGTGGTAGATTCACACGCGTGCCCGTCTGTGTAAATGCAAGCACGTGTGTACACATGTGTATGTTTGTCACTTCCTGCAGGCAGCAGGCTGATCGTGAGCCGGTCAGCACCGGGAGGACCAGATCAGTTGTCAAATATTGAAAAACTCCCCACCTGGCTGGTGAAGAGCTGCCGTTCCAGGCCCCTCGACCCCCACCCCCACCCCACGCCTTCCCCCAAGAAGTCCCTGCATCCACTCTGCTTTTCATCCTGTTGTGACGTCTCCTGAGGCTGGCACTGACCATCGGGCAGCTCCGGATGGCAGAGCTTCAGGTCCTGGCAGGTACGAGCGGGGCTGTCCTGGGTCCCTGTCGGCCGCCTCATCTGCTCAATCTCCTCCCGCAAGGAGTCGAGGGAGCCAAAGATCTCCTCCAGCCCCCCAGCACTGCCCGGAGCCCCCCCCAGTCGGCATGGCCTCATCCTCCTGCATCAGGCGGCTTCCATCCACGGAGCGCCGAGTCTTCTTGGGCATCTGGATGGGCAGGGGCTGGATCACCTCACCGGGGGGGGCCCTGGGTGGAAGGAAGAATGGAAAAGGTGAGAGACAAATGGATAGGAAGTGGAAGCCAAGAAACCAAGAAAGAGAGGCAGGGGCGGAGCAGACAGAGGCGGGCCCTGACTTGCAACTCACCGGGTGTCCTGGAGGACCCTGGACGCCCTTCTCTCCCTTGGGTCCAGCTGGGCCCTGCCGAAGGAGTAAATGAGCTCATGGAGGAATCAAGGGCTCATGCATGCAGTCAAGGCCAAAGAAGGTTCAAGTCAGTCTCTGGGCTGGGAATGAGCAGCTCTGCTGGAGGGAGCATGTTTGCCCTGGAGAGGAAATGTCAAGTCTGGCCGGGGGAAGGGGGCAGAGCTCCGAGCTGGCTGGGGGTCACTCACTGTGGCTCCTTTGGCTCCTTTGGGGCCAGCAGGTCCCTGGGAAATGAGGAAGAAGAAAGAGATGGTCACCATGGGGGAGGGGTAGGACAAGGAGGAATGGAGAGGCAAAGTCATGAGTCCACAGGACCCTGGCTTTACTATAGGAGGGGCAGGCCTGAGGGAACACGGGGACATTCCAGAGGCCCTGGAAGGACGGGGGAGGAGACACTGTGTAAGGACATATGGAGGACACTGGGGCCTGTTCTGCTTGGCTGGTGGTTGCCATGGATGCCACTGGGGGATTATGGAGGGAGAGCAGTAGGGTTTAGGGGATTTAGTGAGGAACAGATGGGGTACTCACGGGGAGGCCGGGAGGCCCTCCAGGACCAATAGGGCCAGATGCTCCGGGAATACCCTAGGAAGGAAAAGGGCATGGTTCAACTGGGTCCCCCTCCACACCCCTCCTGACCCCCCACCCCCCAGCTGAGTCTCCACCTCCACCCTCCCCACCCCCACCACAAATCCCCACACTCATCCTCCCAGACCTTCCAGGACCATGTCCTCACCGTCTCTCCCTTCTGTCCAGCAGAGCCCTGAGGGCCAGGAAGTCCCCGATCACCCTTCTCTCCCTGCTCCCCAGGGGGCCCAATCAGCCCGATGAGACCTGGGTGACCCTGGAGAAAGGACAGGTAGTCGGTCAGGGGGAGGCAGAAAGGAGACACACGGATGCAGAAGGAGGAGCCCACAGGGGTCAGAGCCCAAATGACAGGAGAGACTCGGGCAGGGGGCCAAGGATAGAGCAGGGCCTATGAATAGCCCTCGCTGAGCAAGGACCCCAGAGACTCGGTGTCGGAGCCCTGAAGCACAGCGGTAGACACTTGGGGCCCCCATAGTCCTCCGGGCTGAGGGTAAGGGGAGATACCCAGCCGCAGGTCTGTCACTCACCTTCTCGCCCTTGGCTCCAACATCACCTCGCAGGCCAGGAAGTCCCGGGGGTCCCTGTGGGGAGATAGAAATCACTCTGTCCATGGAAAGGTGGGACCAAGCTCTCCCCAGAGCCATGTCCCACCTCCTCCAGGGCTTCAGATGGATGCCCACTGCCCAAGAGCACCACCAGCCTCGCCCCACCCACCCCACCCAATCCAGAGTCACTCACCAGAGGACCTGGAGGTCCCGCCTGGCCTGTGGCCCCAGGACGGCCTTGCTGACCCTGCAGATTCAAGGGGACCACAGAGATCAGGAGAACTGTCCCCACACGGGCACCCTTCCTAAGGCCCCTGACCCCTCCTACCCTCAGCCAAGCTGCTCCACTCCATGACTCACCACTGAGCCTGGGAGTCCCCTTAGACCATCAGGACCAGGTTTCCCTGCTGGGCCTACTGGACCCACAGGGCCTGTCTTCCCTGGGGCACCCACAGCACCGGGATCCCCCTGAAACATATACAAGGAATGAGTCTTAAAGGGCAGAGGAAAGGGGTAAGGGTGGAGGTAGGGGGTCCAATGTGGAAAGGATGAGGCAGAGACAAGGGGCCAAACCCCAGGAGACCCAAAGCAGGAACAGGAATAAGTATAGGGAACGCCCCCTTGAGATAAGAGGCTCAATATGGGGTAGACATCTGGAGAGAGGAATCTGAGGAACCAGAGGTGCCAGAAGATGGGGGGAATATTCCAGCATCCAGAATGGCCTCTACCTCACCTTGGCTCCCTTCTCTCCTTGCCGCCCCTCAGGACCAGGGGTGCCGGCAGGACCCTGCAGGTAGAGACAGGAAGGAAAAGTCAGTGAGTCACCAGGCTCAGCTGCTTACCTGTCCTCCGGGGGCCATGAGCCTGTGCGTGTGTGTGCGCTTGCCTGCGCGTGCGCGCGCACACACACACGTGCATGCACCAACAGAGTTGCAGAAGCTGATTCCCAGACGAGCTGGTACAGCTGTACCGGTTGTTAAAATACCGAGGAGTTCTGTGTATTCAGGGAAGAGCCACCTGCCCGCATACTGTCTACCATCCACACACCTTCTACCCCAGCAAATAAAGGGTTAATCCGTGGCCCAGCAGGGACCCTCCAGGAAAGCTAGCCCTTCCTCCAGCGTCCATTCTGACCAATTGATGGGTACCACCCTCCACACCCCGGCAAGAACATGCATAGCAAAGCCCAGGAACAGACATGCTCCCTTATACACGGCACACTTACAAATACAAATGTCCACACACATGCACCCCGCCCCCAGGCAGCTCCCTGCCCATCCCATCTCCGCTGCCCCCATCTCCTATCCACCCAGCCAAGGACTGCCCCTCAAGGTCCCGGATGTCCACCTCACTTACCCGCTTTCCAAGTGGTCCAGGAGGTCCATTCTCCCCAGTGGGACCAGGGGATCCCTAGGGAGGGACAGGGGTGGGTGAGTGTTTAGCCTCCAGCCAATGGAGTGGGGCTTAAAAAGGGGGTAATGGGCCTGAAGGCTTGGGCTCTGTAGTGGAGGGATGGGTCACTGGTCACTCACAGGCTGTCCTGGCTCTCCATCCTCTCCTCGGTCACCCTTCACACCATCCTGGCCCTGCAGGGATGCAGCAAGGTCAGGGTTGCCCCAACCTAGCTGGCGTCACCCCCAAAACTGCCAATCTTCCCATCCCTCTGCCTGCCCTGCCCTACCCCCAGCTTCCCACACTCAAGCCAGTCAGCCGCACAAAGGCCCATGCAGGAGCCCATCCGCTATCTCCCTTCCCCTCCCATAAGCAGACTCACCCGAGGGCCACCTTCTCCAGGAGGGCCAGGATCACCAGGAAAACCAACGGGACCCTAATGCAGAGAAAAGGGCTGAAGTCACCACCCCCTAACCCTACCCAGAGCCAGCACAGACGCTCAGAGCACATGCCACACCCTCCCTCCCCAGCCGGTGCCCAACTGCACAACCGGGGGAGATGGTCCCTGGCGCTCTCTTTTCCCCACCTCATGTGCTGCATGCTTTCTGATGCTTTCAGGGAATTAATTAGAAGGCATCTCTCACTTTCTTTCCCTGGACTTCACACCTTGCCATGGATATCATACATCCCTGCCAGGAGAGCTCATTCCAGAGCCTTCCACCCAAGTATCCCCCCATTCCTGGGTTCCCCCTACTCCAAGACCCTCCCACTCACAGACACCCCTATTCCCAGGTCTCTCATTCACAAAGCCCTCCTCCCAGCCCCTCCCCTAAACTCACAGGGTTCCCTTTGGGGCCGTCATCACCGGTGGGGCCTTTAGGCCCTGGTGGTCCTGCCTCTCCTGGTTGCCCCGACTCTCCTTTCTCTCCACGCTCCCCGCGTGGGCCCTGAAGGATGAGTAAGAGGGTATGGATGGTCCCAAAGGGGTCTCGAAGATCAAGGATGCAGCCCCTGCTTCCAAGACACCTGCAGCCTCCCCTCCACCCCCTCAGTGAAAGCAGGATGCTCACGGAAAGTCAAGCCCAGAAGGAGTCCTCGGGTCCCTCCTTCCCTCCGAAGAAAGAGCGTGGGGCTCACTCAGACCCAGGGGTCCAGCCTCACAGAGTGTTAGGAGCACAGGCTCCTGGGCTGTAGAGGAGCTCCAGCTCCAGAAGGTCACAGTAACAGGGGCTGGGGTTGAGGAGGGTGTTGGGGATTAGGGAGCAAGGCCTCAGAGATCTCACTCACCTTGACACCGGGCTCACCCTGGACCCCTGGAGAGCCTGACTCTCCCGGCTCCCCCTGCAAGGAAATTGGGTTCAAAAACCTCCTTTCACCCCCAAATCTCAATATTCCCCATATTTCATTCTCTTTTGCCCCAACCCCAACCAAAGCTGGCAGAAGTCCAACCCTCATACCCCACCCCAAGACAAACCCCTTCATTTACTCCCTTCCCAGTTACCTTCTCTCCAGGGGGACCTAGGTTCCCAACACCTCCCGGGGGACCTTGTGGACCCTGGAAGAGGAGCAGAAGTAGGAGTCATTGCTTAAGGGAGGGGGTAGACCCTGAATGAGCACCCCAAGGTCACAGCGGTGAGATAGCGGGAGGCCTTCCAGGGCCGGCAACTTCTCATGGCAGCTGAGATGAGACTAGAGTTTATGGTCTGGGAAAAGGGAGGCAAGACTGGCCACAGTGATCTGAGAGGACTCACATCAGCTCCATTGGGTCCAGCTGGGCCTCGAGGTCCTGGGGGGCCGGGTGGTCCCTGAGGAAAACAGAGCAGAGATGGGGAAGGGAAGAGAAAGGAAGAGCATTAGGCACACAGGAATGCCAGAGGGTTGGGTGGGGTTGATATCCTAGGGTGGGGGTGGGGGTTTCAGGGGAGGGGGGCAGCCCCCCCCAGGAAGCAGCATGCAGGGAGCAGGGATGCTGGGAGTGCTGGATGGAGGGGGGGAGGGGGAGAGAGGAGCAGGTGGGGTTGGGGCCAGGGGGTCAGTGGGGTCACTCTCACCATAGGGCCCACATCTCCTGTTTCTCCCTTCTCACCCGAGGGGCCTGGCAAACCCTGTGTGGGGGTACACAGCACAGACCAGGATGACCGACCCACCAGAGAACAGCTCCAGGTACACTTAGCCTCCAGTGCCCCTCCCTCCGATCCCACATGTCCCCCAGTCCTCAGCAGCAGGGGCTGGTCAGACCCCACTTCTCAGCCCCTGCCTCTACTCCCCCCAACTCACCTGTAGGCCAATGGGTCCCGGGGGCCCATTGAATCCTCTCGTTCCTTCATCACCTTTGGCTCCAAAGTGTCCCTGGGGTCCCCGAGCTCCGGGCTCCCCATCTGCTCCCTGAGGTGGAGGGAGGGCAGGGACAAGGACACAGAGATGGTCATGGGTCAGGAGTTCTCTATTCACAAACTCCACACCAAGCTGGGCACCAGGTCCAGAGCCCTCACTCCCATGCTCAACTCCAAGGGTGAAGGGGAACTGAGGGCAGACTAGAAGTTGCCAGCGCCCCTGGTGGGGCAGGGAGGGGAGCAGACGGGGCATCAGTCACTCACCGCGGCTCCAGGCTGCCCCACAGGACCAAGGGGTCCAGGGGGTCCAGGAGGGCCCTGGGGGGAAAAGGAGAGTCAGAGACACCAAGACAGGGAGAGACCAGGTGGAAACAAGGCTAAAGGCCAGAGATCAGAAGTCAAAAGTCACAGTCACTTACATGTTCACCCTTGTTCCCTTTAGTGCCCTTCTGTCCAGGGTCTCCCACCTCACCCTATGGGGACAAGGCAGATGAGATATTAGAGAAAAGACCCAGGTGGGGCAAGGAGGGTAAGACAGGGATGGGGATGGGAGGCATGTGCAGATCAGCAATCTTATCTGGAAAGATTGGGCCCAGGGTCTGTAGGTTCCCACACCTTGTCTCCATCCTCTCCTGCCACACCAGGGGGTCCAGCAGGACCGGGAAGCCCCACAGGACCCTGCACCCCATCTCGACCAGTTGGACCAATGGGGCCCTTCTCACCCTGGAAGAAAAGAAGAAAGGAGTCTTGAGCCGGAGACGACCCTCCCCCTCCAACACCCTCACAAGGAACTCTCTGTAGCCCAGCAGCTCACAACTCACAGACCCCTCCCCAGTGTCTCTCCCCAGGGACCCCACACTCACCGGGACACCTTTCTCTCCTGCAGCTCCAGGGGGACCCTGTGGGCCTGGGCGCCCTGGGGGGCCAATGGGTCCCCCCGATCCTGCTGCACCTCGCTCCCCAGGGGAGCCCTGAGACAGGAAATGGAGTCAGATCCCCACAGCCCACCCACACCAGAGAAGCCCTGAACATGGTTCCCAGGAGAATAGCCCCAAATTGAATACACAACGGCGGATCCTAGACTCCCTCTGCCCAGTCCCACAGCCCTGCCTAGATCCGGATGCCCCTCTTCATCCCTCCTCACCCACTCTTTCCTGGCTCCTCCCTCCCGCCCCTCAGGTCCCCCAGACTCACTGCAGGGCCAGGGGGACCCGCCGGACCTTCATTTCCCTTCAAGCCGGATCCACCCTGTGAACCAGAGATGGGGAGTCACAGATGTGAGTCGGGAAGGCAGGGAAGGATGAGGGGAGGGGAGGCAGACTTGGAGAAGTGAGTATGGGGGTGACACTGAGCGACTCCAGGATGCCAGGTGACTTGTTGGGGGACTGAGCTCTCACTCACAGCAGTGCCAGGGAGGCCTCTCTCTCCTGGGAAACCCCTCAGACCAGCAGGTCCATCCTTCCCTGGAGCCCCTGGGGGACCAGGGTCACCCTAAGATGAAATGAAAGGCCATGAGCCACAACCATGCTCATGAGATCTCTGGCTTTTCTCAAATCCCCAACTATATGTTCCCTTTAGCACCCCAACCCTGGTCTCCCAAGTTCCCCTCTGCCTGACCCCTTACTGACCTTTGTTCCTTCTTTTCCAGCTGTTCCAGTCAGTCCCTGCTCTCCTGGGGGGCCTGGGGGGGCCCGGGTGACCCCTCTCCCCCATGGGCCCAGTTTCTCCTGCTGCTCCCTAAGAAAGAGACAGAAAGACTCCAAGCTGACCCTCTGCCCCGCTCCCCGCCCAAAGAGGCCACACTGCCATCCTAAAATGACCCCTCTGGATGCCCTTTATCCCCACCCCAAAGCTAGTGGGGAATTCCTGGGGCTCTCTTAGGCCACTGTGCTGGAGTGTAGTTCCCCAGTCTGGGGTAACTGCACCACCCCGCGTCCCCACTGGGGAACTGCCCCTTTGGGACACGAGATGAGAACTGGCCCAGTCGGGATCCTGCTCCAAAGGGGTTGGGGCGTATGATCGGGAAAAGGGAGCAGAGGATCAGACAAACTAACTTCAGGGTCTGGGGTCCACTCTCCTCAAGGGGGCAGCCATACCTGAGGTCCCACCACCCCTGGAGGACCAGGGGGGCCAGTCTTCCCTTGGAAACCCTGAGAAAGGAAGAGGAGAGAGCAGTCAAGGCATGTCAAGCACAGACACTGTGGGACAGACCCCAGATTCCTGGAGGAAGGGCAGAGTCACCACGGAGTCCTTGGCCATGGGTCTGAGCAGCACCAGGACAATCCCTTTGCCAGAAGAATCTCCATGGTGGGCCTACCAGATAGTCCTGGAAGGTCTGGGGGAGCCAGGGGCATTACTTACCACTTCCCCTCTCTGGCCTGGGTGTCCCGGCAGCCCGTCCTTCCCAGGGGGACCCTAGAAAGGGTTCAGGCATCAGGTGAATGCTGAGCTGGGAAGGAGGATGGCGAAGAATTCACAGAACCCAAGTGGGTCAGAGGTCAACTTACTGGAGGTCCTTTGGGGCCAGGAAATCCATTGGGGCCTTGAGGTCCAGGGAGACCCTAAAGACAGAGCCAGGTTGAATGAGAAGAATGGGCAGGGGGTGCATATTCCCCAGCCCCCTACCCAGGGAGAGAGGGCGAGGGTTCCACTCAGGCTCCCTGGGGAGCACTGGAGAACAAGAGACTCAAGCCATACTCACCCTTTCTCCAGGAGGACCATGGGGGCCATCACCACCTGATGTTCCCTGTCAGGGGGAAGAGAGTCAGAGGGGAAGAGGCACTGCCTTCTAGCTCTGCTGGAGGTCAGAGGAGTCAACCGGGAGCCAGGCTAAGGGGCAGATGGTGGATGGAGTCCTGCCAAGACCACTAACCTTAGCGCCAGACTTCCCCGTGGCACCTCGGGGTCCCCGCTGACCCCGTGGACCCTAGAGAGCGGGGAGGGGAGCTGTCAGAAAAACCCAAATGCACCTCTTGGGATCTTGAGCCACATGTCTGCCCCCCGCACTCACCGTGGGGCCCCGCTCTCCCCGAGGCCCTGACTTCCCCGACAGGCCCTGGTGGGAAGGAAGCAGAAAGAACACATCACCAGAGGTGCGATCCCACCCATAGGGCAGCCCTGCCCTCTGCACCCCTTCCGTTCCCCCAGCTTACCCGGGCTCCCTTCTCTCCACTGGCACCAGGAAAACCAGGAAATCCCAGGGACCCCTGGTGAGGATGGAGAAGGAGAAAATTGAGATGTCATGAAAACAGAGGCCCTAGAAGAGCCAGTGGGGGTCAGGAGAGGTGATGGAGGCAGCAGGGTGGGAGGCCTGGGCTCTTCCAAGAACTATGTGGCCTTGGACACACCACCCACACCCCCCGCGGCTGCCTGGCCCTCTGTTTCCTCATCTGTAGAATGGGGTTGAGCTAAGTTCACTCTAGGGTCCCCCACCACTGTCAGTCTATGCTTCCTAGAATCAGGGGTCAGAGAAGGGAAGAAGAGAAGGGGCACAAATGGGGCATAGTATCACCTTGGGACCCTGGCGTCCAGGGTAGCCAGGCAGACCAGGAACACCCAGCTTGCCCTGTGGAGAGACAGGGAGCAGTTGGGAAGGAATCAGACACCACACCATCCCTGGAGACCCCAAGCCCCAGAGACAGGAGCCAGCCCCCACCCAGCGAGCCTCCCCAGCAAACCTCCAGGCCCCAGCCCCTCCTCTCCTGCTCCACAGGCTGCCTGGCTTTTGTCCTCCATCCTTCCTGAGAGTGGATTTTCCCCAGCTCTGGGACTGGGATCCTGCCTCCTCTGCGCCTTTAAACCCACGGCTCCATGGAGTTCCATGATCTACCCCTGCCTACCCCCCAACCTCAGCTCCCCTTCCCCAGCACACACTCCCTGCACCACTGAGACCAGTCCCCTTGCAGGTTCACACACCACACTCAGGATGGCCTCTGCCCCCCGACCTGTGTCTGCACCACCCCAACCCTCCTGACATGCACCCCCTTCCTCCTGGTGCTTCAGGGCCCACCATGCTCAGCCAGCGGTGAAGCAGATGTTAGGAGCTGGCAGGCCTTCCTAGGCTCAAATGCAGGCCATGCCCATGACCGGCTGTGGTACGAACAAGCATCTTTACTTGTTGCAATGAACGTTCTCTGCAGCCCGGGGCTTAGGACAAGCAGGCGCAGGGCTGGCCCTCAGTGAGGGCATGGAGATTAGCTCTGTAGGTCACCTCCTCTGACTGCTTGACTCTCCCTTCTTGTAATTCCCACTGCTCTAAGTCTGGACACATTTTCCTTCTGCCTTGTACCTACATTCCTTATGCCAGCCTAATGCCTTGTCCCTACCTCTATGCCACGTAAATTCTCCCGACAGGGACTTTTCCTTGACTTCTTATGTATCCCCACCTCACCCCCAACTGTCAGTGACCAGGGGGTGCCTTCTACAGAGAGGAGCATAATTAACGTATCATGGTCTTCAAATGACTCATTGACTCCAGCTGTGGGCACCCCCAAGCCCACCCTGATCCCAGTGTTCAGGCCCTTATCCCCTCCACGTCCCCTGTCACCTTTTCGCCCATGAGCCCGGGGGGGCCAGGGTCTCCAGTGGGTCCAGTGCGTCCCTTCGGCCCCTCGGGACCATCTTCTCCCCTAGAACCAGGAACTCCAACCTCTCCCTGGGTAAGACAGTCGAAGAGGTGAGTGTCAGGAACTGGTGGTGTGGGCTGGGCCCCAAAAGGAGAGGTGGGCCCCGGTGAGGCTGAGTAGGGTCCCAGAAACTACTGCAGGACAGGGAGCCCCACAGGGACAGGGAGAACACTGCGACTATCAGGCTGGTGGGATGCAGACTGTGCAGGTTGCCATCCTGCCAGGTTCGGGCTCCAAGGGAGAAAAGCACTGGAGATGGGGAGTCTGGGGTTTCAGGAAACAGGCTGGTGATTGGGGGCTCCAACATGGAAGAACATCAGGACTTCGGGTTGGGGAGGCCATTGTGTGGGTTTCTACTCACCCTGTCACCTTTCACGCCCATGTCCCCTTTGAACCCGGGAAAACCGTCCTCGCCCTGAGAAAGATGGGGGTGAGAGGTCACCAGAGATAATAGGGGGTCAGGAGGTAAAATGGGGCATTTCAGAAAACATGGCAGAAGGGTGGATTTCGGAGCTGGAGATCAGCACAGCGCAGGCTGGAGGGAAGGAAGCGGGGCAACTGCTGGGCAGAAGGGGTGGTGTGGGGCAGGATGGAGGTGCTGGGAGGCTGGGGGCGCCTCTCTCACCTTTTCACCCTTATGACCCTTCAGACCACGAATTCCATCCACACCCTGGAATTAGTAGGCAGACAGAGACAGATCAGGGACGGAGGTTGGAGTGGAAGGATCGAGCTCCTGAGACCCCAGCTGGCTCCCCTGACCACAGTCCTTTATCTCCCACCCTGGCTGTCCATTACCTTGACACCTCGAGGTCCTGGGTATCCTAGGGGACCCTGAGGTCCAGATGGGCCCTGGAAGAAGAAAGAAAGGTATCTAAAAAGGGGTTTTGATGTGTGACTGTGGAGGCTCAGGGCATGGAACAAACAGTACAGACAACAATGGAGTCTGGATAGGGATACAGGGCATGGAGCTGAGAATATTTCAGAGCCACATGAATGGTAAGACAGGGAAAACCCAAGGACTTTGGGGCCCCAGAGTCTGGGTGGAAACTCCCTCTGGGTGAAAGCAGGTATGGAAGATCTCACCTGGTTTCCTTTGGTTCCAGGAGGACCTTCCTTTCCAGGGTGACCCTGGGGGTAGGGGGAAGAAGAATGTGACCACTGGCCACTGTCACCTTCCCTGCACCCCTCCCTTCCCCTCTTTAACTCCACTTCCCCTTGTGACCCTAATGAAGCCAACTGACCAGGGGCAGGCACCACCAGTGACCTCCCAGTGTGAGGAACACACCATGTGGATAGTTACCAAACGCACTTGGAGGTCATTCACTGGGATGGAAGGTCAACTGGAATTTGGATTAAGAGGTGCGGACCCACTCACCGGAGGCCCGTCAGAGCCAGGCATGCCAGGGAGCCCTGGTTTCCCTCGAGGACCCTGCAGGGGGAGGAGGTAGAGGGTCACGAGAGGGATCAGATCAGACGGTGGCTGAAGTCCTAGCCACACAGTGAAGGCTCTCCCTACAACCAACCTCTCCAGCCCATCCCCTGTCACCCAATCACTTAGTCACTTACCTTCTCTCCATGAGGCCCAATGGCACCCTGGGGCCCGGGGAGACCCTACTCAGAGAGAGAGAGAGAGAGAAGTCACAGGGCCCCACAGGGGTGGGCTGCTCTCTCCTGTAGCCAGCATCCCCATTCGGAGTATGGGCACTGGAGTTTGAGACCCTTAATTTCCATCCAGGGTCTGACCTTGTTAAAGGTGGGGAGGGGCTGGAGAGGACAACTCACCTGGGTTCCAGGAGTGCCCTGTTGTCCAGGAGGTCCTGGCTCTCCCTGGGGTCCCTAGAAACAAGCAACCAGGCAGAGGTCAAAAGAAGATGCTGACGGGACAAACTGAGAGTGGAGAGCTGAGTCCTAGCTGGGACAGCAGAGCACAAGAACCAGAAGCAGGCAGGACGTCAAACTGGTCACCAAGAAAACAGGACCTTGGCTAAGGTTCTCCATGCCCATTACTCACCAAGCTCCCTTTGGGACCATGGGGACCATCCATGCCTCGGACTCCCTGAAACATGAGAGGGGCTTGAGCAGGCTGGAAGGCAGGGCCTGGGCCTTGGAAGGACCTGTGGTTTCTGGGAGGCCCGGCCATTCCAGAGGGTGGGACGGGGCAGCCTCATGTTGGTCAGACCTCCAAACCTAAGCAAACATAGCCGGCCCAGATCCACAGGGCGTGGGTCTATGGGTCTGTGGGTTTGCGGGTTTTTGTTTTGTTTTTCTTGAAGATTATTTTTTTAAGCTATGCTCAGAGCCTTTGGTGGACTGTACCACAGGACCCTGCAAGGGCACCTGGGATTAAAGGCTGGAGCAGAGCGAGGTGGGGCCAGGGAGGGGGAACCGGAGGTGTGGGGAGAGAGGCAGCTAAGAAGGGTGGAGAGTTGGAAGGGTCAGGGGGTGACGTCAGGGTCAGAAGTCAAGGACAGTCACATACCGGGGGCCCAGGAATACCAGGTGGGCCTTTAGGGCCAAGGAGACCTCGAGGTCCCTGCAATCAGGTGAGGGGAAGAAATGACATGCATGGGCAAGAAATAATGTGTGCCTTTTGTATCCATATCCCTCCCCTGGCATCCCCAGAGCTCCACCACTGGCCCCCTAGTCACTCACCGACTCTCCAGGCAGTCCCCGAGGCCCAATCTCCCCATCATCTCCCTGGAGGAGAAGGACATGATGAAACAGCCTCACCCTCCATACCTCTCCCATACTGACCCCCTGCCCTGGCCACAATACTTACCCGCTCTCCATCCTCACCAGGGGGTCCAGGAAGGCCCTGGGCACCAGTATCACCCTGGAAAATGGGGACCAGGTAAGAGGGGCCTCAGAGCCCCCAGCACAGACACTGACCCTCTTCAATTAACCAACCAGTTTCATCCATTGAGCTCCTGCTGGGACCCTCAGCCTCCTTCCCTTGCCTTGCGCTCCCTACCCCTCCCCCCCCCCCACAGAAGGCCTACACCCTCATCACAATGCACTACCCCCAATATACTCACCCGGTGTCCCTTCTCCCCAGGGAGCCCTGGGAGTCCATCAAAACCTCGGTCACCCTAGGGGAAGAGGGGCAGCCCAGGTGAGGTCCTAGCTCTTTTCCCTCCTCATCCCTCCCTCCTGTGTCCTGAGTGGGGAGGTGCCACTTCATGGGGAAACTTTGGGAACTTGGTCATCCCCAGAAAACAAATGAGCTTAGACGGGGCTGGAAGTCACAGGCATCAGAGAGGGACCCAGGCCTGTCACCTTCACTCCAGGTTCTCCAGGCATCCCTCGGGCTCCATCAGCACCTGCTCGGCCCTGGGGTGCAAAGGAAGTGTCAGAGCAAACAGAGGCATAGTCCCCTACACTCTGAGTCCTGTCTCCCACCCACACCCACCACACCCCCACTCACCCTTCGCCCAGCCTTGCCAGGAGGGCCTGTGAGACCTTGAGGTCCTCTGGGGCCCTGGTGAGAGAGAGTCAGGGCAGGGTTAAAGAGCACAGACAGAAAGGGAGGCACTGGATGGGGGATCAGATGGCTTGTCACCTGAGGTCCTAGGTCTCCTGATTCTCCTTTCAGGCCAGGGCTCCCAGGTTGTCCCTGGGACAGAGAAGAGAGAGCGGCTATGTTGAAGGACATACCCAACAATGACTTCAAAGCACTCCCCAAAAGTAGCAAAATAACTTTTTTTTTAAAAGATTTTATTTATTTATTTGAGAGAGGGAGTGAGAGAGCATGAAAGGGGAGAAGGTCAGAGGGAGAAGCAGACTCCCCAAGGAGCTGGGAGCCTGATGCGGGACTCGATCCCAGGACTCCGGGATCATGACGTGAGCCAAACTGAGCCACCAACTGAGCCACCCAGGTGCCCCGCAAAATAACTTTTAACTTGGTCCCTTTCCAGAATTATCCATACCCACACACACAAATAAAGAACTCTCTACCCCAATATCAAACAAACTCACCAAGGGTCCAGGGCGGCCTGTGTATCCCATGGGGCCAGGGGGTCCCCGGAGCGCCAGCTAGGGGAGCAAGGGACACGGCAGATCTGAGGAAGAGGCATCAGGAGAACTCCCAACCCCAGCACACGCTCCAAATTCAGCTTTCCACTCTTTTTTTTTTTTTTTTAAGATTTTACTATTTATTTGACAGAGAGATCACCAGTAGGCAGAGAGGCAGGCAGAGGGTGGAGGCAGGGGGAAGCAGGTGCCCTGCTGAGCAGAGAACCTGATGCGGGCTTGATCCCAGAACCCTGAGAGAGATCATAACCTGAGACTTTAAAGGCAGAGATTAATGCACTGAGCCACCCAGGTGCCCCTCAGCTTTCCACTCTTAATTCTCATTCCATTGCCTTGTATTCTCCCCAACCTACTTCCCTTTCAGCCCCAAACCAACCAGACCTTACCTGCCCCACATTTACTCCAACCTACCCTTCCAACTCCTCCTAAAGTCCACTTGCCCTCCATACCCATCCCTTCACCAACATCCCCTCCAGCCTTACGTACCCGTGCCTGCTGCAGAATCGCCTGGGCCTGAGCCTCCTGGGCTGCCACCACAGGGCCCTTGTCACCCCCACCACTGCCAAACCGGAACTGAGGGGTAGAGAGAAAGAAAGGTCCATATTCTCTTCCAGGAAACTCATGTAACCCTCCCAGTCAAAGGCTTCATCCAGCACTTCTCCCCTTTTCCCAGGTGCAGAGACACCCCCTGCCCCATGCCCTCCTCCAGTGTCTCCTGTGGAAAGTTTTCAGACAATCATGTATAGGTTTTCAGAAACTCTACTTCTGTCTCCCTGCCCCCTGCCCCACTCTCTGTCTTCTTCCTTCAGAAAAACTCTCCTTTGTTTCCAGAGTCCCTGAAATGTGGATTTTCTGCCAAGTTCTAGACAATCCATGTTTGGTTCTGGGTCCTCTAATGAGGCCCTAGTCCATCCACCTCAAAGATCAATCTCTTTGTGTTAATGGTTTTTCAAGACTCCTCCTTAGCTTTCCTGGTCTTCTGGTTCTTGATAACAGAACAGTTTCCCCTGCCCCTCCCATTCCAAAGCCCAGAATACAACTCACTGGAAGCATAAGAGATGTGCCAGGAGGGCCAGGGGCCCCATCCGATCCAGGGAGCCCTGCTCGGCCAGGGGGGGCCCTAGAATAGGGAGAAAATGAGGAGAGGTGGACAGTTAGGGAATGTTTGGGTCCTGGCATCAGTGTGAAACTCTCTACAGAATAAATATAAACTTCCCTATATCCTTCCTGAACCATCCTACCCTCATACAGAAAAATAAGGGTGAGATACCAGATTACTCCCCTCCCCAACCAGAGCCTGTCCTCTTTTCTGGGTGTTGGGGAGCACACCAACCCCTTATTCATTAATCAGCCATTTAATGAGGAATTACTTAGCTTGGCACCCCTGTTGGGTACTAGAGGCTCCTCTGCAGTCCTCTGCACACACATACACACATGCACGCACGCACACACGCACTACTCCCTTACCCTCTCACCAGGGTCTCCAACTGGGCCTGGGTTGCCCTGGATGCCAGGGGGACCAATCAACCCCTGAGGAACAAAAAAGGAGTGGGTCAGGTATGGGCATTCAGATAGAAGAGGGGTATGTGACTGAGGAGTGGTCTCTACAAAAGAGATTTGAGGATCTGGGAAGCTTTGGAAGGACTCTCCAGAGTTCTGAGAAGGAGGCCTGGGCATATGTGGGGAAGACATAGGTGAATGTGTAAGAAGGGTCTCTGAGAAAAGAATGGAGGCTAATGGGTCACAGCTACACTTACCGCAGGGCCTTCTGGGCCAGGAGGCCCCTCTACTAGCATACCCTGTAGAACCAAAGGTCGAAAGTCAGAGGCTACAATGCTAGCACCCCTACCTTCTTTTCTTCTTCCCCTTGCCTTCAGCTCAGTGACCAACAGTGACTTACAGGTTCCAGCACCGCAGGCTCCCCCTTCTCTCCCTTCAGCCCCCGGGGTCCACGGGCAGCCTGAAGAAGACACACATGTAACCCCCAGTGGGGCCTGTGAGCAGCCAGGACACCAGGACTGTTCCCATCCCAACTCCCACCTTCCTTCACTCTCAGATCCTCTGGAGACCTCCCCAACCCTATGTGACTGCCTCTTCACAGACCTCCTAGGTCTTCCAAGGAGACCTCAGAGCTCTCCACCTCCAATTCCCAGCTCCATCTTAGCAAACAAACTTCCTCATTTCCCTGACGACCTCTTTCAGGAAGATCTTCACACACTTCCCGGAATTCCAAACCACATCCTTAACCTTCCCAAACCTTCTTCTGGAAGACCCTGCCCTATTCTCCAAGCTCCCTTTGACTCCAGGAATCGTTAGAGCTTTAAGAAACTATCAGCTACCTCACCCTTACTGCAATCTACCAAATAAGCATCTCTCTAAGATTGTAGATTGATTTTTATCGGGGTTCGAGGGAGAGCATGGATCCATATGAGAGTCTGACATAATCTAAGAAGTCTTTTCTGGGGAAGAGAAAGTATATGCCCTTATGCACAGAAGTTTTCTTAGAATTTCAAAGGGTTCACAAGTTAAAAACTCTACAGAGGTTAAACACCCATACTCTAAGTACAATTGGAAGGCAGTCCCCACTGATACCCCAAAGTCAGACCTCATAACTGGTTTTTAGAAAGATACAGCTCTTGGGCTATTGCTCAAGCCCCTGAGCAGACCTCCAGTTCCTCTCCCAGCAAGGACACTACATCCTTCCTCCTGCCCTCATTTATACTCCAAGCCCACCAGTTCCTTCTTTTCCACGCTTCTCAGATGCCCACCCCCAACACTGAGGCCAGAACCAAGATACGGATGGGAAGAATGAAAATCATTCTCCACTCCCCCAACTCTCCCAACAAAGACCTTCAGAATCCACCCCTCCACCTCCATCCTGACCAAACAGCAATGATGAATTTTCAAACTTTCCCATATCCCATATCAACCCCAAATTTCCAGAAAGCAGCAAAAGGGAAAGGCAGCATAAGGTCAAGGGTGGCAGTATTAGAGAAGGAAAGTGTGGGACAAGGCAGCAGGGTATAGGAGGCAGCTCTAATTGCAAGGCAAGCAAAAGATGAGTAGAATAGACAGGAAATTTCCCAGCTGAGAGGGAGTGGTTGAAGACATGGGAAACAATTAAGGGAGACATTTCAAAGGGACAAACACTTGGAAGCAAGAATGATTCCAGGGCCAAGAAAAATTAAAGATGGCCAAGATGGCTAGAAAATGAACTGGACAAACAGGAAGTGGTTGGACAGACAGGAAGCAGCCAAGAAAAGAAGATCCAGGAAGTGGACCTTCAACAACAAACATGGCTATCATGACCAAGAGAAAGAAGTTGTTCACAAAACGGACAAAAATTGACTCCTGGAAAGGTAATTCTTCCAGAAAACACAGACATCAAGGCTAGTACACACAGGAAGTAGCCATGATAAATATCTAGGCCCACAGTGGAAACTTTATTATTTGGATGACCTGAGACACACAGGAAGTGGCTTATTAGCAAAGGAAATTGTTACAAGACAGCATGAAAAACTAAAGCCAATACATAAATAACTCCCTTTCAGTACAAACTGTCACAGTCACCAAGATGGATGCCATGGCCAAGGAAGACAGGAAAGGACAGACAGGGAGTGACCCATAGGTTAGAAAACAAGACATAGGAAGTTAGATCATTTGGCAGCAACATGGATAGGAAATTGTTTTTACCAAGAAGAAATGATGGAGACAGACTGACAATGGACAGAAAAATAGGGGATTATTGGCCAAAAGCTTTATGAAATACAGCTTGATTGAGACAGAAAGTGGCCAAGAAAGATAGGAAGTGGTTATAGGATTAAAAAAGAAAAAAAAAATCCCAACTGCCCTGGACAGAAGGATCCATGAGTTGTCACAGGGCAAGATACTTGGCAGGGGAAAGCAGAAAGTCATCCTTTCAAGCAACATATACATCTTATGTGAACAGAAAAAGGTGACTCATCAACGGGAGATAGCTTGCAGCCAATAGACAATAATCAGAAACAACAGGAAGCAATTCTTACAGCTCCCACTGCAGGTCAAGAACGGAAGAGGAGCTCCTTTCACTTACGGCTCCCGAGGGGGCTGTCTCCGCAGACAGGGCAGGGCCAAGTTCCGTCTCCTCACGATAATCGTCCCCATAGCCATAGGTGTAATCGTAGGGCCCTGCTGGGGGGTCTGTGCCACCCTCCCCATATTCCTCTGTCAGGAACCTGTCGGCTGTGGAGGGGACCTGGAGATCTGTCTGCTCCTTCCCGGAGATGGGGAGGGAGAGGGGTAGATGGGGGCATTAGGGCTGAGAGAAGGTTTTCCCTGGACCTGAAGGGTGTGGGGTCTGGCCCAAAGAATTCTGGGGGTAACTGGGACTGGATTTTTTCTCCGAAAGAAAGCAAGGGAAGTGGTTGTATAGAAAGGGGGGGGCCATGAAAGGCCCCAAATGAGGAGGGATGCCCCAAAAATGGGCCTGGTGGGAAGAAATGATGAAGTACAAGAAGGAAAAAGAGTGGCCGGAGGGCTGGACACAGAGTAGACAGTCTGTGGAGATAATGGTAGACAAAGGAGTCCAGAGAATAATCAAAGAAAAGGATGTAAAAACAGAACAGAAAAAGTGACAAGATTGGACAGAAGACTCCTGGGAACAGAAATACGATGAAAACCTTTTGACACCAACATGGGGAAGAGGTTGTTCCAGAATCAAAGACTAATGGAAGGAGACATGGACACTGAAAAAAAATGGCTATGCTTAGAAAGACAAGCAGGCCAATAGGTCTGGAATGACTGGAAGACCACAAATGGATATGACAAACAGCCCTCAGGCCAGAGGAAGAGTTGATTCACCAAGATGACATGGGGGTAGGAGGAGTGGGTCACAGATGCCCACTGCCCCCAACTGGCATGAGGGTGGGGGATGGAGTTACCTCCTCAGGGGGGTGGCAAGGGGCTCGATTCCAGGATTCCTTCCTCTTCACCTGGGGTGGGGTCCTAACCCCAAGGAGAAGGGGGAGAAGAGTAATATGGGGCAGAAAGGAAGAAGAGAGGTTAGCAGGAGGGGAGGCAAAGCAGCACCTTGTCCCCCGCTGTGGGCAGTGTCTGTACTGGGGCGGTGGGGGTAATCTCAGATCTTGCAGCCCCTTTGGAGGGGGGACAGTTTGGGGAGAGGCCATAGCAGTTTGGGGGCACAGATCTGGATGCCCCAGCTCTACCTGCTGGTAACTGCTTCCTCTGGTCCTGGGGGGGGCCCGGGCAGTGGGGGGAGCTGCCCGCCGAGCTGGGTGTCTGAAGGGGGGAGGCAGGCCCCGCGCTGGGCCGGAACCTCCAATTCGAGAAGGCCTCCGGCCTGGTGAGGGGGGCGCCTGCCGGGCTGCTGAACTCTTGGCAGGTGGGGTAGGCTTTCTGGGAGGGGTCCGACGCCCCCTGGGGGGAGGGGGAGCCCTGCGGCTGGGGTTCGGTGGTCTCTGTAGCAGAGAGACATGGGAGGGAGCAGTGAGGACACTCCCATAATCTAAATAAATGATGTCTCTCCCCAAATGTTAAGAGGGGAGGAAGGTGCCATAGGAGATGTTTCCAAAGGTGGTGGGAGGAAGGGAAGAAATAAAGGGGTCCCTCAAGTTTACCTGATAATCAGGGGTCGTCCCTGCAGTCATCACATCGTAATAAGGGGTCTCGTAGTCATAGTAGAAAGACTCAGTGGGCTGGGGTTCAGGAAGGGGCAATGGGAACGGTAGGGAGAGGGAGGAGTATAAGAGTGAGTAGAGGGAGAGGAGGGGGTGGTGTGGGGGTTTGGAAATGGGGTAGGAGTTAGGGATGAAAGGAGAGGTTGGGGTCAGGAGAGAGATGGGGAGAGGTGGGGCCGTGGGTCCCACATGTGGGACAGAAGTAGACATGATTAAGAGATTGACCCTCCAACCTTCAGACCACTGACCCCAGATCATATCTGTCACCTTAACTATCTGGATGCCACCCAATCCAGCGTCTCCTTTCCCTCCCTCCCCTTGCCACCACCCAGCCCTTTATTCTGTACCTCCACATGCAGGGGGACAGAGACTGGGGCCCAACACAGAATTCCATAAACCCAGCACTCTTCTGGGATTTTCTCTATCTCCTGCTCCTCCCCATTTCTCCTCCTAGGTCTTACCATCTCAACTTTTCTCCCTGGTTCTGTCTCTCGCCTACTCTGCTCGCCCATCCTCTGTCCCCGCATCTTATCCCACACACACACTGCCCCCCAATCTCTTAATTCAAGGAAGGGATGGGAAACCCAAGGACACAGTTCCAGGAAGACTGGTGGAGGAAAGGAGACACGAGCAGGGGACACAGCTCCCAGCCATGAAGTCTTTCATAATGACTCTTTTTATTTTTAATTGAAAATAAAAAGGTTGATGAATGAGGACTGGGAAGAGGGAGTGATGGTTGGGAGAGGGAGGCATGGTTAGAGTGGCTCTAGTGGAGGGGGGACAGGAGCCCAAAACAGGATGGGGAGCTCTGGAACATTGGGGGAATTCCCCTGGGGAGGTATCTGGGTACTTTTCTTCCCTGGAGTGTGCTGTGGTTTGGGGTTCGCCCAGCTCCCTCACCTGTCGCTGAGGTTCCTGGTTTTGTGGCCTATGAAGTCTTGATGGCTGCTGCTTTGGAGATCTCTGGGCCCTGCGAGACTGTTGTTTCTGAGGTCTCTCCCTCCAAGTTCCTTCACACTCCAGCTCCTTCTGTTCACAGGATTCGTAGGCAGCTTGCACCCCTGGGGCAATGACAAGCTCCTGGATGTCACCCTGCAAAGACATGGAGGATGAACTTCAAGGGAGGGAGGCAGAGAGAGTTTCAGAGACAGAGGATCGAGTCTGGGATGCAGGGTAAGAACCAAAACTAGGTAAAAGGACATAATGGGAGAAGGTCATTATCCGCCCTCCCATGTACACAGCCCTTTTCAACTTTCAAAGGACCTTCTCATCCATAATCCCACTTCACCACAACTGGAAAATCAGTAGAACAAGGATATTTATGCCTATTGTTCAAATATTCCATTCAGGAAAGCTCAACGTGGCAATGACTGGCCCAAGGTCACTTGTAATTGTAGACTCAGGGAATTCATACATTCCAACTCTAAATCCAGCACTGTTTGTCCACCCCCTGCCCTTTGTGGTAATGCATGAACCTTTCCACAAAGGCTTCTGGAAACAGTGGCCAAGCCTTAGTTTCTTTGACTTTCCATTAAAAGTAATGATTAGAATTCTCAGGACCTCTAAAAATGGGGGAGAGGGAAGACACTTTTGAATTCCAATGACATTTGTTTGAGCCCACACATGATTCTTTGCATACCCTGCCTTGCATTATTGATTGGGGTTATTGTCTCATCTTCAAAGAGGAACTGGGAGCTCCTGAATAATGGAGACCTTATATTACTCTTCCGTGTTCTCCTTGACACTGGGACAGCAGGTGTTCAGAGAACATGGACTGGCTTGGTGGGTGGATGGTTGGATGGATGGATGGATGGATGGATAGGTCAGTGGGTGAATGAATGGGGCTCAAATGCATGACTGACTGAATGGGAGGGTTGGTGGATGGTGAATGAATGAATGGGAGCATTGGTGGGTAGATAAATGGAGATATGGAGTAGAGGAAAGAAACTGGTACGCAGAGAGATGAATGGAAGTGAAATATGTGAATGAATGAATGGTTGGATGGAGAGTGGGTGGGTGAGGAGATGGGTGGGTGAGTGAGGGGATGGATGAATACATGCATATGTACACCTCATATGCATGGGTAGATGGGCTGGGTGGCTGGATGGATGAGTGAATAAATGGATGGGTTAAAGATGATAGACTGATGGATGAGTGAAGAAAAAAGTGGCTGAGCAGAGAAGATGGGCAAGGGATGGATACGACCCTGAATGCTTGATTGGTGAGTGAGTATGTAAATGGATGGGTGGGTGTTAGATGAGGATATGAATGGGTGGGTGTAGATAAAGAGACTGGTTGGAGGGATGAACAGATAGGCAGACTCATGAAGACTGATAAAGGCAGCTGTCCTGCCATATAAGTGGGCCCCTAATTCTTCAACAGAGAAAATTAGCCCCGGGGATAGGAAATGCAAATAGAGATTCATGAGGGCTCGAATGAAGGGCTAGGCTCTAAGAAGATGGAGTACTAGGGCCAGAAGGGCAATGGGCACAAGATACAGGACAAGCAATCACTCTGTTCTCTATGTTCTGCTTACCTCAAACACTTCTTCATCCAGGATGCGGGCACCAAAGATAATCACTCCATGAGTGTCCAACAGTGGGCGAGCACTTCGGGGGAGAGGCCGGGTGACACGCTTCTTGCAGTCAACTATGAGGGTGACAGACTGGCCCTTCACAGCCACAGCCACACGGTGCCACCTGGTCATGGGCGGGGGGAGTGGGTCAAGTGATTGACTGAGGGTGGACGGAGTCAACAGGGCTGGAGAGCAGTTGATGGAAAGGTTGGAGCCAATGATAATAGTAGCAGTAATCCAAGCGGCTATTTACTGACTGTTTACAATGCACCAGGTATCAGGCAATACTTTCCTCATTTGATTGTCATGAGTCTATCAACCTTATAGCCATAGAAACTGAGGCTTTAAAAAGTTCACCTGCCCAAGGCATAGACTAGTACTACGTACAAGGATTTAAACACTAAAGCCCAAACCCTGGGCCAGAAGTGTAGGAAGTTTGGGCAATAGGTAGGTGAGGTGAGGCCAAAAAGGTCAGTTGGGGTTCCTAGTTCAGGGAGTGGGGGTTCTGGGGTCAGTGGTCCAAGGAGACGTCCTGAAGGGACAGCCCAGGCAGACCAGAGGAGCAAAGTGACTTACTTGCCATCTGCTAGGCTGAGGCCTCTGAAGACTGGCTGAGCTGGGGGTTGAGGCTGTCCAGTCTGGTCCTCATACAGGAAGCGGAATGGTCGGCCAAGCTCCAGGCCCAGCTGTTGGACACCCTGGGCACTGTAGAGAGTCAGGAGGGGAGCCTGGAGGCCAGGGCGGGTCCGGACAGCAGTCAGCAATGAGAAATCTTTGGGAAAACCTCCTGGTACCCGAGAGAGACACAACCAGGTGGAATGAGAGGCAAAAAGAACCATAAAACCTTTCCCTTATGGTGTCTGACTCTAGACCCCACCCCATGGCCTCCCCCAGCTCTCCCTACTCTAGCATGTCACCCATACCTGGGAAGAGCTGGCGGGTGGGTGCACTGAGCTGGGCAGGACGGGATACTCGGTAGGCCACATCAGCTGGACAGATGCCTCTTGCCCTCCGGACGCCATCAGGAAGGGAGGGGAACCTCAGGGCCCGGAGCACATCCACAGGCGGTGTACCTGGGAGAGTCCATGAGCATCAGGAGAAGGGACACACCTTCAGGAGGGCCAAGATATGGGGGCATTTGGGGTCTGGAACTCAGCTTCCTGGAGCTCAAGCTCCCTGAAGGCAAAGGTCACCCCTCCCTTACCTGCCCCCAAATGGACCCTGAACAGATGGGAAACCAGAATCACCTGGAAGAGGGCAGCACTGGCCCTGTGTTCAGCTCCACATAACCCCTGCCCCTCTTGCTCCCAGTGTGTCTTGCTCAGTCTCTCCTGATCTCTGTCTTTCAACCTATAGATCTCTCTCCACTCTCCACCATTTCCCCTTCTCTGTCTCTCTCACTCTTCCTTTCTTTACATCTGTTGATCTTCCTCTCTCCCTGTCTCTTCTGTCTTCTTCTACCTCCCTCCCGCTCCTTCTATGGTTTTTTCTCCCCCTTATTTGTCCCTCTCTCATTCCCTTTCCATATCTCTGGGTCTCTGGGTCTCTGGCCTCTTTCCCGTATCTCCAGCACAAACAACATCTGGGCAATCGATCATTCTGGGCACAGGAGGTGCGGGCTGAGGGGGGGGGGCACTTGGGAGGGAGCAGAGAGGCAGGTCTATGGGGATGGGACTCCAAGCTGCTTCAGTGCCCGCGTTTGCGGAGGTGGGGACAACTCTGACCATGCTGAGGATGGAGATAGCAGAAAGAGCAACCCCAGGAGCCTGTGCCCCTGGCTTGGGAGATGGGCTGTGGGGCCGGGGGGTGGGGGGGGCAGCTGCCATGAGGAGCCGAAGCAGGTCCAGGGCCCAGAGCCACACATCTGTTGATCCCATCAGAGTCCTTGCCCAAAACCCGGGCAAGCTCCCCGAACCTGGAACTTCAACCCTGCCCCACTACCCCCACCTCTCGGATCCAAAGATTTGAGACCCAGGCCATCCCTTCTATCCACCTAGAATTCAGCTTTCTCAGACTCAAACTGACTGGAAGACAAAGGTCACCTTTCCTCCACTTGCTCCCTGGTACACACACTCCTCACGCCATCGGGTCCAGATTGGAAAAATCCCAAAGAAAGTCCAGCAAAATTTTCATAGAAGCATGGGGCAGGGCAGGGGCCAGAGCGATCAGGAGAGCAGAGCTGGGTGGGGTGGGTGAGGTGGGGCGGACAGGCAGAGAAAAGGCCCTTTGAGTCCAGGAGCCGGGAAACCACGGCCTTGCCCTCCCCTTTACCACCCCCCCCTTGCCCGAGCCTGGCCCCTGAGTGTGGCAGCTCCGCAAACACCAACACACAAGGGCTGCTTTGAGAGAGGAAGGGTGAGTGAGACAGAGACACAGAGACTCACAGAGACCCCAGGCCAAGGAGACCTCTGAGGCCCCCGCCTTTCACCAAACCCCACAGGAGAATAGTTCCATCCTATAGACGACCTACCCACAGATCTGCCCACCTCAGGCCACATATGTGCCCACTGACTCTGGCCTCGGTCTGCCCCACAGGCTCCTCTCAGGCAGCCCCAACACCCCCCTTACACTCTACCTTTGGTCCCCGAATACCCCCCTTATTTTTACTCCTATGAATTCCACACCAGCCCATTTCCCTATAGAGTCCCATCTCTAGCCACTCAGCCCCAAAATAAAAGACAGTCATCTTAACCATCCCCCATCTCCATGCTAGAGGATTCCTTTCCTCCTTGAAAAAGGCTCCAAGAGTCCACAGACATGGCACACTTCCATTTCCTGTCCCTCAGCCTCATGCTCCTCGCATCTTGGAAGTTCCTCTTTCTGTGATCTAATCTAAATCCTTTATGCTCCTCTTCTGACCATTTTTCTCTCCAGAACGAAGAAGAAATGAATAGTAGAGTTATATGCAAATCAGCCTTCAGTGTTGCCAGGAGTGGGAGGCTTGTTCCTGCCTGCCCAGGACCCAGGTACTCCCAGCCCCCTTCTCTCCGGCATCAAATCCCTTTCCTAGGCGCCAGGACTTCTGGATCCTGGGAAAAAGAGGGAAAAGATTGGGGTTGTGGACGCCAGGGTCCCAGGGGAGCCCCGCTGGCCAGAGGGGGAGGGGTGGGGCAGGAATGCAAAGAGTTGGCTCCTGCCTCAGACACCTGATCCCAGCCTGTCCAGCGGCCGTCCTGTTGGCAGCCAGCCCCAGTGCTCCCCAGAGCCAGCCGCGTGGCAGCAAGGAGGGCACAGGGAGGGGGAAGGGGATGCTGTCCGGGAAGCCAGTGGGACAAATAGTCCAGTGGTCCCTTCTTTCTCTACCTACTAGGCTCTGCGCTGACCCACAGATACCCCCTCTCACCCCAGACATATAGATAGGAAGACATACACACAATGCTCACCCATCAATACTGACATCTGCCTCCCCACCCCAGCATCTGCAGGACCTGGCACAGCTTCGGCTCTCCCTGGAGAACCCCCAGCACCCAGTCCCATTCTCTAAGGTGAGCCTTCACCTTTCAGCTTTACCTGCCCTCTCCCAGTCCGTACAAGGAGGCAAAGAGATTCCCCCTACCTTGGTTCCCAGGGACCCAGGTGACCTGCCCTCCACCCAGGACCCTTAGCCCCCAAAATCCCCTTCTTGGATTTAGAACCTCTGCCCTAAGCATCAGCTGTCCCCTACCCAGGGGGATACTGAGAGCTGGAACCTGACTCCGAGGACGCAGGCGTCGGGGACTCCTCTTACCTGCCCTGGCGGGGACCACGCTCAGCCCCAGCACCAGCGGTACCAGCAGGAGGAGGCGATGGCAGCGGCTGCATCGCTCCATGGCTGGCGACCCGAACACCGGGTCCCAGGGACCTACGGGGGGCCAGAGGCGCAGAACGCCCCAAGGCTGACAAGAGAGAATAAGCAGGCTCTGAGCCTCAGACGCTGGGGTCCCGCGGAGGTCAGAGGCTGTCGTAGCGACAGCTCTCAGCGGCCCACCTCCATGCAACCGGGCGCCCGTCGGGGCTCTGGCGCCACTCCTTCCTCGGTGGCCGCCGCTCCTGTGTGTCCCCGGCCACCCTAGCGGCCCAGAGCCCCCACCACGCCCCCGGCCCAGCCCAGCCCAGCCCCAGCCTCCAGCCGCCCGCCCACAGCCACCGAGGGGAAACCCCACCCTCAGTCTCCACCTGGTTGGGTGTGGGAGGACGGGAGCCCTCCTTCGCTGATCCTCGGACTGCCCTCCCCTGCTCCTTGCAGACTGAATGGCCTGTACCCAAGATTACCTTTTCGGGAACCCCGGTATCTCTTCCCTTGCCGCTTCCTTTTCTAGGACTCAGGGGTCCAGTCAAAGCCCCCACCCCAACTCCCTCCCACCTGGGGGCCCAGAGACCCTTTTCAGCTGTCCTGGGAGGGACTTAGGGCACAGTGGGAGGGGAGAGGCGGGCCTGGGGGGGGGGGGTCTCTGCCTCCCCCCCCCAATCAGGTCTCCATAATTACTTCCCCTCGCCCCGCCCAGTGTAATTACAGAGCCCGGCTGGGGCGGGGGTATTTATAGACTAGGCTATAGATAGCGACTGGGAACCTGCTACCCGACGGCTGCAAGGGGCAGGGCGGGGTGGGGTGGGGCAAGTGGTTACAGGGGAGGCAGAGGGACCGGGCGTGGGGGAAGATATCGCCAGAGACTGGACAGCCCGACACACGTAGGCTAATCAGGTCCAATGAGATGAAAACGGGGGGAGGGGGGAATGGGGGGGGAACGAGGTCAGGGAGTCCGGAAGCCCAGGTGACAAGGGATCCAGCGGGGAGATGAGGGGGCCGTCGAAGCTCGTTGCAAGAGCGCAGGGAAAGAGGGTTACTCAGGGACGAGAGGCCGCCTCTGGGCGAGCAAAGCCCGAGGAGGCCAGGGCGCTCAGAGCCCGGTGAGCCCCCACGTACGGGCACGGCGCCCGGTCTGCCCGGAGCCCGCGGCGCGGCGGGAGAAGACAGGAGCGAGCCCAGGCGCCGCCGCCCGCTGGCGCTAGGAGGGCGCAAGCGAACAAGGCGCCTTTGAGAATCAGCCGCCCCCCTCTTCCTCCTCCGGCCGGCCCCGCCCCCAGGCTGGCACACCCTCTTCCCCCCTCCCCGACAAAGCGCGCCTTGTGTCCCCCACCCTGTGCCCGCCTCTCCAGCCCCAGGGAACCTCGGCGGCGGCGTCAAGGGAGCGCGCCCGAAGCTCCCGACCGGATAACCCCCTACGCGCGCGGCCAATACAGTTACCTCAGTCCAGAAAACAGCGATTTAATTTGAAAGCTATTTTATGTGTGAGTGAAAGAGAAGGGAAAGGAACCCCAGAGAGAAGAGCTGCAGGGCAAAAGTCATGCAGCCCCAGCAGGCCATCTCTGCAGGCTGACCATCCCCCCTCAATTCTCAGGCCAGGGTCTTGTGTCCCCCAGGCTACACTGTGTGTGCCCAGGTCTGCGGGAGGGCTGTGAAGGGAAGGGCCTGAGGACTACTCACCAAACCATCCCCGCCCCACCCTGCCAGCACACCCCAGGCCCCTTCCCCTAGTTAGACAAGAAACGGTGGGGGAAGGGGTTGGGAAGGCCAGTGCTTGAAGGGCCCCGGGGACAGACCATCTCAGGGCCCACCCTTTCCCAAACACCACCTCCACCACTGGCATTTCTTAGTCAACCTGGGAAAGTACAGTACTTCTTTGAGTCTAACTGCAAGTCTCTATCCTCAGAGGAAATTAAAAATAGCAGATGGGTTCCTACATCTCCACCCACCCCTTAACCACCATCACCTTTTTATTTTTCAGTCTGATTGCAGCAGGAGGTGAAGTGTGAGAGGGACTCTGGACAGGAGACAGTGACAGGGCCCCTCCCTCTTCCAGAGTAGCCCCCACCTGCCAGGCTACTGTCAAGGCTGGCAAGGCCTCAAGGAAGGCCTGTCAGAGCACTACTCCCATGTCCATCAGTTTGGGGGGCCTGCCCCCCGATATCCATCTCTGAACGAGTTCCCATTTTCTCTCTTCGCATGGGTAGCTAAGTGAGGCAAGATGAGAAGGAAGCAAGGTCCTGTGAGCAAGGCCAGTGCTTTGTGCTGGGGGAAGGAGAGATCGTTCCAGGCAGGGGGTGAGAAATCACCCCAAATCATGGCAGACCCAGACAAATTCAGAGACTCAAGGCCATTGAAGAGAGAGGTCCAGCCCTCACAAGGATCTGGGGTCCCCTCTGACTTGGGATATCACGCAAACCCCCTGGAGGGTTTATGGATCCTCTTGGAGGTCTCAGCTCTGCCCTCTACACCTCACCCCACCGAGATTCTAGGGCATGGCCCCTCCCCACCATGCCCCAAGGCCAGAGTCCCCCTTGGATGCGTACTCCTCAGGTGAGGAGCACCACATTTGGGTCTGGGCTCAGGCCAGCTGGTGGGGAGCCTCAAGCATCTCCATGAGGAAGGTGTCAATGGGGGTGTCTCCAATGAGCTTGAAGAAAAACAGATGCTCTAGACACTTAAGGCCAATGGACCTGAGGGCAGGAAGACGTAGCAGCAGCTTGGCAAACCTGAGGGAGAAGCAAGAGAAGATAGCTGGAACCACATGGGCCCTGAACACACCCTCATGGCACCCAACCCCTCACCCCCACAGCTCCTTCTCACCGTCCCTGCTGCTCAGGGTACTTCTGCTTGCAATAGGTCTCCAGTGATGCGTACACTTTCTCCCGCAGAACCTCCACCTCGCTAGGATTGGAGAGGCCCTTGGCATCTGGGATGGCAGGGAAAAGAGGGGGAAGAAGGAAGACAAATCAAGTCAGAACAAATGTGGAGATGCAGCCCACACAATGTCCCTTCTGGGCCCCACCTACTGGGCCTTTACCAGATGCCTGGCAAGGGAAGCAGGGCAAGTTATGGAATGGGGTCAAATGGGAGCGTATCAGTGGATGTGGGTTTTTCTTGGTCAGCTGGGAGATTGCCGGGTTGAGGGGAATAGCTGGTAACTTAGGAGTCTCTGGAGAAGAGGAGGCTCCAAGGTTGCCTTGGTCTTGAGAGATAGGGGTGATCCTCCTCTTACCTGGATTGAACAGAATGATTGCCCTCAGGCAGCCAAGCTCTGTCTTGTCCATCCTCATGTCACGCATTTTGGACACTAGCTCTGTCAGCACCCTGGAGAGGGACCTGCAGGTCACTCAAAGGTCACAGCTCAGCCAGCCTTGGACACGGACCAGCCTATAGCCCCACCCCCTCTACCTACAGGCCAGCCCAGCCGAGGGCCACTGACCGATCGAAGATGGCTCCCACGCCTGCAGAATGGGCAGAGTTGCGGTGCACATGAAGACCTGTGGCGAGGAGGATGCCATCTCGGACATCAATGGATCGGTGGGAGAAGGAAGCAATGAGAAGCTCATTCCAGCCTGGGTTGGGGCAGCAAGGGTCAGGAGCCAGAGATCAGACCATGGGATTCAAAGCATATCAGGGGAAGAGAAGAAGAAGTGGTGAGGTCAATGAACTTGGGCCCCTTGGTATATAAGTATGCACTGGGGTCACTGAAGGTCAGAAGGTGAAGTAGGGGTCATATGTCAAGAGCTCAGGGGGATCCAAGGTCACTGACCTGCCCGGAGCAATATGACCTGGTCATCCAGAGGCAAGGAGGAAAAGTGTGGGATCCTCTTCGCCCACTCAACAAGCGTGAATAGCTGTTTGTCAGCTGCCTGACAGATGTTAGTCACGGGGTCATTTGGCTGCGGGGGATGGGGGGTAAGAGTTATGGAAGGTCTGGAGGTACAGTGGAAGCCCCCCTTGTAAGAGGTTTCTGACATCACCTCCTTAAAGGAGTCTCCCTTCAAAACCATCTGAACCAATCCTTGTAAGTCAGGCTTCTCCTCTGGCATTCGTGAAAACAATTATGCATTTAGAACTTGCCTGTGGTTCCACCACTGGGTTGTTTTGGGATGGGGACAGAGAAAACTATCACACCCACCTCAGATGTTTGAGAGACCTTGTTTGGCAGTACTTCCAGTCCCAGGCAGTGTTGGGAGGGAGGGTTGGGAGGGGAAGGGAGAGGAGAGGGAAACAGAACCAACCTAGACTCCCACCCCCCCATCCCCCATCAGGAAAGAGACTGGATTGACCCCATCACTCACGCTGCTGCCGCTACCCCCGGTTCCCCCAGGACCCTCAACGCCCTGGTCACTCTTCTGCTCCACAGCAAGCTCTGCCTCCAGGATCCTGTCCACAGGCATCTCCTCGGGGGCTCCCCCAGCCCCCTCCCCATCCCCGTCCTTGTCCTTCCCCCGCTGACGCTCCTCCTGTACCGCTGGGGGTGGGAAGAGGAGGAAAAGAAAAAGGGAAAAGTCAATAGTCAGCGGTAAGGGGTTCTGAAATGTCCTTAGGGCCTTATCAAGGTTCTCATGGCCCTTAGGAAATATTTATAGGAACTGGGGAAGTCACTAGCAACTGGGGACCAGGGGCAGTCTGGAAGCAGGGGTTATAAAAGGGCAGATAAATAAACCAAGAAGGAGGAGGGGAAGGGACGGTAAAGGATTAGGGAGAAAGTTAACATTTAAACTGAGGACCAACTACATGCTAAAAAATATGAAAACACATTTTAATATTCCCTCAATTATTGTGAGAATCCTGTGAGCTCTTATCCCTGTTATTAAAGATGAAGATTGTAGGGCTTAGAGAAGTTAGATAGCTTGTCTAAGTTCACATAATACACAGTAAGTCATCCATCTAAATCCATGTGTGCCTGACTGCAAATCTGATGCTCTTCTGACTCAACTAAGAGGCAGTGAAAGGATCACTGGCCTGGGTCTTCAAGGATGGGTACTGATCCCCCCTTTGTTACATGACCTTAGGAAAACCAGGCCTCAGGCTCATCTAAAAGGAAGGATTTGACCAAGATACTCCAAAGTGTCTGAAAATTCCAGAATCACACTTAAGAAGATAAAGAAAAGGAAGGCAGCCCTGAGATCTTCAGTAAAGTCTATAACTTAAGAGAGTAGAGTCCCAGACTTTGGAGGAAGAACCATAGATAAGCAATCATTGTATCAAGGAGGAGCGACTATTCAGGTAACTGAAGGGGAGAGAGAGAAGCTCATCGTGGCTCAGGAAATGTTAGCCTACCCTAGCACGAGGGAGGGGAGGGGTCATAGGAGCAGGCAACAGAGGATACCCCCTTTAAGAAGGAAACTCAGGGACAAGAGCTGATGAGGAGAGAGAGAAATCAAATATCGCCCTCTAGAGGAGGAGAGAGAACAGTCCAGTCCTCCTGAGAGGTATAGTCCAGGGTTTTCTGCAGTCTCCCTTCACCTCCTCCCTCCTTTCCCACAAGGTAGCCCAGAAAGCTTGGCTGACTCAGGCCCTTACCCTCCCTCTTCATGCCGGTGGCCAGGCACTTCTGATAGCGGCAGTACTGACAGCGGTTTCGCTGGC